TTTTCTTTGCCCAACCTTATTTTCTCCTCATTGGGGACCGGCCTTTCGGCGATTCTCTCGGCTTCATCAGCAAGCGTAGGAGCGTCGAGGCAATAACACCCAGCCACCGGAAATTCTGGCCAACGTGGCCGGAAGCCGACGGTGAAAGCCTTTTTCACTCCTGCGCTGCCGGCAGAGGATCGTTGAGTCAACACGTCCGCATTCATCATACGAGATTCAGAGGCGTTTGCCCATTAGGAGAAGCCGAGGAGAGATAATTCCGTGTCGATTTCCCCTACAGGCATGCGCAACAGCAAATTACTTGAATTAAAAAACATTTCACGAAACTCTCCAAGTAATGTCACACAATTCAGATCAGGTGTAGGTTGATTCAGTGGCATGGAAAATTAGTAAATTGAAAGACAATTTCCCCTTTAACATCATTTTCTTTTCGTTGTAAAACTCTATTTTTGGCATCTAAGTTTATTTTTCTGGGTAGCTCAGGGCTTCAGAGAGGGATATTCGAAAAAATATACACTGCGGCAGTCATTACGTAACAACCAGCACAAGTGTGCTGCAGTCACTGAATGAAACGAGTGGCCGAAAAATCGCTACAGTTAATTTGGTTGCTAATGTTGAGGCTCTAATATGAAAGAGTGATCTGTGTAGAGGAACTTTAAGCTTGTCAACAGAGGGCGACAGACCCTACCATCGGGCGGAGCTTTTATATACCGCGTGGACCGTGTACGTCCTAACAGAATTTGTCTTTGCTTTTCACAGCTACGGCTAGAGCTTAATTTGACAAACGCTCTGTGGGCAATGAAGAGGGCGCCCTGTCAGTTCATTGGGATCCTGGCTGAGCTTTGGCATGTCAAATCTGCTCTTGTGTGTCTCACTAACACAGGTGCTCACATTCATCGGAACCAAACCTTGAAATTTCAATGTTCTCAAAGGATAGACCATTAGTGAGACTTTTGGGGGGCAGCCTGTGACTGCACTCATATTGTTGTGGTCGAGCCAATATGTTACCTTCTGTCCACCTGAGAATTGGTTACCCCATAGTATGCAGTACACTTAATGTTCTTTTGAATTGTGCTAGGCATTATTAACACTAATCGCTGTAGAATGTACAGTGCATTGTTGATTTGGGGGTTCAACGAGCAAAAAAGCCGGGCTTGAGTTCACAAAACACACACAAAACTATACTATCACGGGGTCAGCAGGAGACTTGGCCCATTTCGCTTCCTCACTAAGATGTGTGTCCGACCCCTACTTGTATTAAGTTTTAGTTTCCAACAGGGCCCAACACCCCCCAAACGAGCTGCTAAGTCAAGACGATTTCAAGAGTGAGTTCGCATTTAGCCCGCCGTGCCACCAAATGTCTTCTTTGATGATTGTGAGCCGTCCCCAGGCTCATTGTTGTCTGGTAATCTTTGATGGCTTGGGCCAGACCGGCTCAATGGTCTCCGTAGATGACCGTGCCACCGCCAGTCCTGACTAGAGGTCTGATGCTCTACCCAAGCTCCCCGACGGCTACCAGCCACGCCAGAGTCCGGCCTATCTTCGTCTTTAATATCCGGCATTAAACACCAGGTACGTGTACATTTTCTACTTTGCTATCCAATTTGTGTTCAATTTCCTGAGATATTATTTGAAGTGTATTGGTTCTGCACTTTCCTCTCTTTTTTTGTAAATATTGAACTCTTTGTTTAGTTCTAATCGCTGACAGATCCTTTAGGTCTGATTTTTTTCTGGCGTGCCCTTGCTGATTTTTATGAATTCGGCGCATCTTAGAATACCATCGGAATAATCCGGTTTGGTGACGACTTTCCAACTGCGCATGCGGATGTCAAGATTTCTGGTTTCGACGTCACGGGCCATATTACGCAAGTCTGTGGACGACGGTAAACCTAAATCAGAAACACAAATATCGTTTGCATTTAAGTTTTAGGATTAAAAAAAGACTGGTATTCTAAGACATGGCGAATTCCAAAGGCGGTCTTTATGAAACACAAAAGTTTCGTGACGTTTGCCGGCGCCCTTTATCGTGTTTTGCTCGTGTACGATTTTCCTTTTCCCAGGTGCTATATTCAAATCTCAAGGAGCTCTGGAGTTGTCGGTTTCCTCTTTGCTTTGTCCATGACGAGTTCGAAGCGAAATTTGCCCCATCTTGTGCCTTAATTAATGGTCACTTTTGTACCAAAAATCAGGACCTAAACACTCTCGGGAAATGTTTAACTGAAGGAAAGCTTCACTTACAGCGTTCAGTTTTGTATCCTTGATAATGCTCAGCGATAATTATGTATTTTATGCGCAGCGACAACGAAAGAAGTTTCAAGTCGTAGCCATTGAAGAAAAAAAACAGTTCAAATGGTTCCAATAAAAGTTTAATTTAGGTCCAAGTCTTTGCAAAAGGGGCTTCTAGCTTGGCAGATTGAGACCCGTAGCAATCGTGTGCACCACTAACGCGCAGCTTGCAAGCTCAAAACTTACAGTAGTATCACAGTGACGCATCATTTTTCAATGTTCGTCCGCATCGACGTAATCATTCCCCCCGCTGTACGTCAGCAGGGTAAATCATACCCTACGTCAGTGAGTCATTATCGTAGCTAAAAGCAACATCTCGTCCCAAAAATAGGTAAAACTGTCTTCAGGTTTTGTATGTCGGGTTGTAATCACCACGGCGCCCCCCGTGAAAAGGGCGGGTCCCCGACGGGCAGCGTCGGCCGTCGGCAGCGACGTGTACGCCTCGCAAACCAGACCAAAGTTCGCGCCGCCGCATGTACCTGTCAGGCCCGATTTGGACCCTCGATGAGCAGACGAGAGCTCCACGCCTGCCCGGCGCAGACATTGGGGGGCCCCCGTGCATTAGCACCTCGGTTCAGTCCCGGTCAGCGAAGTACAACATTTGCCTATCTCTTACATGTTTACCGGGAGATGAAATGTCGATATCTGGGGAAATTAGGTTAGCGGAAAATTCCAGCTATCGGTGTTGGCTTTCCTTGTGTGTATTTGAGATGTATTGTCATATAAGGTTGGCGGGTGACACGCAATAACCCCAGATCCATGACGGCAGCTGTCACCGAACTCGAAAACAAACCTCCTAAAAAATTATAAAAGTTGAGAAGTTGATGGAATTATGGGCTACAGGCACGATGCGACAAAAAAGATTCATGGCTCAAATTTTTACCGGCAATTTTTATTATGACGAACATATGACAAAAAGTTGCTTCATTTGTTGCTTGACTTGCTCGGCGAATTTTTACCAACATTAGAATGAAAATTGCTTTAGTCTGGGTCGTTGACTTTGTTGTTCAAAATCTAGAAGAAAACCTGCCGTTTTTGGAGTGCATAAATAAGAGAACATTCTCCGAAAGTGGCTCGAACCTTACTACAGAGGCTCATGATTTTATGTGTTTTTGCCCCTAAGCAAGGTACTTTGCTCCATGGAAATACCACTGTCCATTGTTGTCAAGGGGAATTTTTATCGTAGTAAAGAGACTAAATGGTCACCTCCTCTCGGGTGATGAGAGACGCACATTACGGTCAGAGAAACTAGCTAAGTCTTTCAGGAAATTTATGACATATTGAATGTCTTTTCAGGACCACCGTAATCTCTTCATTAGATATCATCCACGGATTGGAAAACGAGGAAAGTGTCTCCTGAAATCAAGAGAAATCTGTCAAAGCCCACACGAAACCAAACTGAAAAAAATTACTTTTGTGGTATGCGGACTCTTGGCTTGGCGCATATGCACCGTGTTTGATTCACAGCAAAATCACCCAAATTCGAATGATTATTTCTTATTGGCAGTCACAAGCGCCTTGGGAGAGTATATTTGTTTTCTTGGCCGGGGTGCACTTTTCGCGTCTGCGAGAGGCCAGGTCACTTCACGCCTGAGGTGTCAACGCTCTCTAGGAGCTGTACTTTGGTTCACCTGCCGCCGAGGTATGCCCACCCCCTATCCCCGCTGCCATTCCTGGCGGGCCTGTCCGGGACAGTCGATCGCCGCTCAAATTGGGCCATTTGTAACCCAAGAACGTTAGTATTTCATTTCCGAGCGCCGCACCGGCGGCACGGCTCGCTCTCTGCCATTGCCCCACGGGTAACTTGGGCCTCGGTGTAGCCGGGGCCTTGCCGTATGGTGCGCTGCGCATCAGTCCTGGCATTTTCAAAGCTGGTCACCACGCTGGCGCGGTATTTGATAGCAGACAAAGAACGCTGTTCACCCCCATGCTCGGAGGGTGTCAGAAGCCAGTAAGCACACGTGAAACCATTTCGGAATGATGGCGTTTGGGCGGTCGGGTTTCGGTCGCTCCTGACGGGAGCGGAACCGACCAGGTGGTGTAATATGTCCATCATAATTTGTAGGGATGTGGAGTGAAATACATCCCCGCTGTAACGTCCTCGGGGCGTTACACCGTGATTCGACACTCCAAATCAGCCATTCTGATTTCCTCCAATCCTCTTACCCATAATGCCTTCTTTTGGAATTTGAAGTGGATCTAGCTCAGGGAAGGAGACTTTCACCGCCCAAATTGTAAACTCGTCCCCACTGTAAACAAAAATATGTTTTATCGTGACCAAATGGCCTGCGTTCACTAGAATTCGACAACGGTTCTTTGACATTTTGGAATATCGTATTTTTTTTCGAATCTAGTGATTACCGACAACAAAAAAAATTCAACGATTTCTATTATATTTTTGAGTTCCGACGATTGCAAGTGCAGATTCAGTGGTATTCCTCTCCATAATGCAAAGACCAGAGACAAGCATCGACGAAGTGTTACGATTGGCCCTTATTCGCACATGCGCAGTAGTAGTTCTTAATTTATTTTAGTAGTTTGTAAACCTTTAAGTACGGCCCCTGTGTACAAAAGTTTATCCAATCAAATTATAATGATTTGTCTTTGAAATGCTGACATATACAAGTGCTCGTTCACTTGTCAATATGGGCGGGAAACTTTAACATTTTGGCAAAAAAGATTCTTTGAAGTTTGCGCGTCATCTTGGCCCGAACGAGCACATTTATCACCCAAAAGGGACGTCGTTCCTTGGTAACGAGGCACCCCCTCCTCTTTATGTGCCAAGCCCCAAAAAAAGACTCGTGGTCAGTGCAAATACCAAGAATGGACTTACAATGGCGCCTCTACGGAAAATGAAATTCAAAGTACTCGTGGACAAGTTAGTAATCTAATGTAAATGCATTACCTTTAATTGGTCAGCAAGACATAAACAAGACACAAAGTACTGTGTTATTGTCTAAAGACACAAGATTTCATTCTGTTAAAGTCACATTATGAATAAAGCAGTTCCAACTATTCTATTATTTCGATCGAGCTTGTTGCAGATCATTACTTGCTTCCGTTTTCCATCTTCTTGATAAATCTCTAGCTCGCTGGCCTCAAAAGACACAAGGAGTGATAATGGAAGCAGTTTTTATTTCCAATAGAAAAGGAAGATGCTAACAGTCAGAAGTCCAGTGTACTCCATCCAGTGTGGTTTGACCGAATCAAGGCTGGAGTATGGAACCATGGCAAATGGTTTGAACATGCCTGGCTGGTTCATTGCATGTGCTTCACAATAGCACCAAGTCCCGCTTCGCCGACACTGAGGATTTTAAGCCAAATCTTTGTCCGTTTCTGACATCTCGGGTTTGTTTCCCTCGATTCCAGAATCAGTTTTGAATATTGGTTAATTAATGGAACCAAATAGGCACTACAAAGTGTGGCCACGCAGTACCTCCTGTGAAAACTACGGCTTGTGGAGCTAGACTAAGGCCGTGTCCGAAACGGGCTTCCAGAGCTACGGCTAGGTCTATTGTCTACGCGTCTCCACGCATTTCCAGTGGAGTGATATGGACCTAGCTCTAGACAAGAGATTCGGATGCAGACTGAGTCTCATCTTAGGAGATTAACTTAATCAAATTGTAGCCTGAAGGCAAGGCTTTAGATCCTGTGGGGTGCGATATTTACCATCTCCTATCAATTTTGTTTTATAAACATAAAGTGGCCAGAGGCCACAGTACTACAAAAAAGAAAGTTCATGCAAAAGTTGCCGTTGGTTTGCTGCCAGTTAAAGCGAGAGGGCTTCACAACATGACTAGGTCCATCACTTAGTTTAATTTTCAGGATTGTCGCACTCAGACTTTCCATTTTTTTCATGATTTACCCATGATGGAGTCAACAGAGAACGATAATCGTTTTGTTGACACAGTTTTCGCAAAGCGTTTGGTGAGGCTGGCGTTTCGGCAGATTTCTTGGGCGTTGGAATCGTCAAGCCTGTCTCTTTTCCGATCACCCGCAGGGGCTAGATCTGCACTGAGATCTTGCGAGTAATCGTTTTCGCTCTCGACACTGCCAAGCCGGGATCGAGAATCGGAGGCCCAGTTCTCCGCTCTGCGCACGGAACTGAAGGCCGACACTGAACCCTCTCCTCGAATCCGGTTAATTGAAAACTTCTGGATCGGCTTGTTAACTGGCAAGATACTTCCCCATTCGAAGTGTGCACTGTTAGTTCTACCATCGTCCTCTTCATATATCTTACTCCCTGGAGGCGACAGGTTCCATGGTAAGCTAGGAGTGGTCTCAAGATTCACCCCTGTGCTTAAAAGTGGGTGTGCCGTGGGACCGCAGGTCGGTGTCGCTGCGTAGGCCGTAACGAGTTTCTCTATGGCCAGGCGGAGGTTGCCCGCGCTGCCTCTTAGCGCGGCGTCCAAGGCCGTCGTGCTATAGCTAGGGAAGAGGCGCCGGAGAAACCCGGCAGTGTGGTCCGGTGGTTCCCGCACCGCGTCGATGCCGCCCGGAGTCCGATGATGGGGGTGGTATTGGCGGTTCACGGAGCTAGGGAGCCTGGAGAGACTGGCCTGAGCCGCGTACATCAGGCTCCACTGGCATTCTCTCTGCAGCATGGTCGTTTCCAAGTCCTTGTCGGCGAAGGCGCGTCGCTTCCTCATTCGCTCACTGACAGAGGGAGGCAGGAAGATGACCGGCCGGGCAGAGACGCTGGTGCTTGGTGCGGTCGTGCGACTACCCTTACTACGGCAACCTACAGGAGAAATTATGCCGTTCAATTGTATTTTAGTCCTTCCTAATTCCCTTTTCCTTCTCTTAAAACATTCTGAACAATCACTGTGAACGTAAGTGATATAAAAAAATGTATCCCTGGTGTGAAAAAGTGTCCTCAAAATTATCATCACCATAAACGAAAAATGGTTAAAAATAGTCCATAATTTAACAGCGTTTTAGATGTCCAAAACAGAATAATTCACGTGAAGGCATTTGTTATTGAAACGTCCACAGAAGTATAAAAGTGATTTGACAAAAATGTAGTGTGGCTCGGACGTACCATGAAGCTTTTTCAGATGTATTTCTTATACATAGTTTTACTATGAAATCTGCTGAATATTAGAGGCTGTATCCTCCAGAGTGTTATGAGCGCGGTATCTTAATCCTTTAGTCCGTCTGTCTATCGTCTCTGAAAACAACAGGCCCACTCAATCTTATACTCTGTATTATTGAGTGAATACCGTCTCTTAATTGCATGGGGATGATGATAAATTACTCTGCCCATTTTACTGTTGCTTGGCACAAGCATCGAGGGGAGAATGATGCTATGGACCACCACCCCACCCCCGTCCAAAAACTGGGGATCCCCCTACCCACGGGATGTACGCCCCTGGCTTATTTCAGTGTAAAGTGCCGCCAAATTTCTGTACAACTATAGCCTAGTCCGATGGCACCGCACTCACACGCACATTATTCAGTTTGACGCGCGCGTGCAAATTGGCAAATAACGACACCCTGTTAACCAAAGAAGCATCTAACGCGCGCGTACCACCTGTCCACGAGCGTTGTGCCACCGCAGTAATGGCTTCTGATTCTGGTTGTTGGATTATACTATACACAAAACAAACTTCATTTGGGAAATTTCTTGGAATCGATTTCCCACAGATCGAAACGCCAACACGTTTTCGGTGAGTGTAGCGTTATGCGGCTAAAGGACACCGTGTATACTTTGAGATTTTTTTTCAAGATCCAATATAACCACAAGTTATATAAAGTTGCGGAACGAATCAGCGTGAATGACAAATCCAGAAAGCATGCCAAGAGGCTAGGTCCGCTGTAAAACATCACGAAGCTACTTCGCAAGCGGTGTCAAACAAGGGCTTGGGGCAAACAAAAACAGCCAAGGAGAGCAGATCGGTTGTCATGATGTCAGGGTTTCGAGAAAAAAAAGTACGAGTGGAACCAAACGATGGCGAGGCCCGTCACGTTGGCCCCGGGGTGACGCACGGCGTTGAGACCGGTGGGTGTCCGGCTCGAAACGCGGTGAGCGACGGCGACGCGGGGAGTCTGTCCCGGGGAAGAGCTGTGTTCTAATCGAGAAAGTAAACAGTGCTTGGGGCTTCTGTGAAATCAACACCACCCTGCATAGGGGAAGATACTGAACGGAGACCACGCACTGACGCGATCCAGGCTGATTGGTTCTGATCCCTTCCATTGTCAGCTTAAAACATTTTGAATGATTTTGATACGAATGAAACCATGAAAAATGTAAACGAAATTGTATCGGATTTCACCTTGTCATCACTCTGAAGGACTCTTTGCGTGCCTGATTCTTTCTGGATATTTCTGTAAATCATTCCATCATATGCTCGGGTTGCGCAGCGGAATTCTTCGATTTGAAAACAGAGAATCACTCCGGAAGAACTTCCAGGCCTACTTCAAATGTAAACATTGTACCAGGGTGGCATCAGTATTTTTCGCCATCAAGCAATTAAAAATGAACGCATGCGCATTCGTATCGACAGCCGGTGACAGAAAATCACGTCATCGAGGTCAGTAGTGAAAAAGTAATAAATTTATAAAGTGAGCTTCTTTCAAAGATTAAAGAGCTAGACTCATTAATGATGTAACTGGTATCTTGGAGCAAGTGGCCTCCCACAATCTCTACGTGCAAAAGTGGCGCCTTGCTAGTGGGATACGGTGGCTGAAAAGTGCCACATCAACTTTACGAACAACGCAGCTGCTTTCAAACGGATTTTACCGATGTGAAAATGAACGAAAGCTCTCCAAAATTACGATATGTGTGGCCAGTGGGTTATCCCCATCCAAATGAATGTCAATTGAAACAGAAATTATAAAGGAGTAAATATTTTGGAATACGGAATACACAGACTTGGTTTTGTTTCTTGAATACTGTTTCTACAAAAGTGGTTATATGGAAGAAGATGCATTCATTTATTAATTTTTTAGCAAAAAGGGACACGCGCACAGCAACAAAGTTGCAACAGCAAACTACGTGTATTATTGGTTATGTTAACCCGCGGAGTAGCACTATACAAATGCTAAACCCAAAAGTGGCCCAAGAGTAAAACCAAAATTAGCAAGACAGTCCGAACAGTAGGTATTATGAAAATAACACTGCACTGACACAGAAAACACATCTCTTCAATTGGCTTATCACGACGTACAGTGAACGTCCACACAACCATAAAGACTCCCCCAACCCATCCATAACCATAAAGCCGTATGCAATAAACAATGGTGACGTAAGTCTTCCATTTAGGAGAAGATAACTTGTCTGTCTGTCTGTCTGTCTGCAGAAGACTGACAAGTGTCTTGCAAGAATGGCCAGTTACCTTCTGCTTTACTATATCTCCGTGTCCAGGTTTTGCTTTCTGTGAGAAAGGTTTTCTTTTCGGTGAACTCTGCACATCAAAAACGTGTCGATTGGAATCTTTTGTTCTTGACATTGAAAAATGACGAGATCAAATCTCTTCTCACCGAAACTGTGAAGAACGGCCACAAAAATTACCATTCTTGTTTTATGGAGAAACGCTATGAAATAAAACCAAAAACTTAAACCAAATTTCGCCTGAACGGCATTGCAACATTTTGCCAACGTCACTCTGTAACATTTGTCACCACCTTGAGGCGGATGTGTTTTCTGTCAAAGCATGTATAGAAGATATTAATGTAGTTTCCTCTTTGTCTCGAAAACTGCGTAATTGAGCATCCGATAAGCAAAGATCTAAACCCTCTTTCGTTTCTTCATTTTCCCTGTCGGCTTAGGTCAAATCCGATGAAAAGGCTTGAAACTTATTACAAAAAAGGAGTTAAAGGAAGAATTTTTAGTTTCAAAATCCTCTAGCAAAAATCAGATGGCTCTGCAAACTCTGTCTGAAGTGATAGACATGAACATAAACTTGTGAAATGTTAAGGGACTTAGTAAATTTGACGCTTACCCTCTAAAATGTCTTTGGAGACGGATGTTGCCCTGTGTCCCTGTCCTCTAGATGAATGTATCTTACGACTCCCGCCCGACGTGTTAACCCCCTTCCCTGCTCCGCACACCGACTTCCTTGTGGGAGCGACGACTCCGTTGCCGGCAGCCTCTTTACCGGGCGCGACCGGCGCGTCCTCGGCCGTCGCCTGGTGCCGTCGCAGGGCCACCTGGGCCGCCATGACCCGCTGCCGCTCCACCACCAGCTGGCAGTTGGTGCACTGGCAGTCCCGCCAGCGGCAGTAGCGCTTGTGACCCTTCAGGCAGGACACCACGCCGTGGTTGCGGCACCGGGCGCACTTCGGGGTGCGGAGCACCTTTCTTGTGGTCGGGGGCCGGGAAGGGGGGTCCATCTTGCCGGCTTTGAGCCGTGGTCCGGACCTAGAGTCGGCCTCGGCGGAAGTCGGAGATGGAGACGAGATGCCCAGGTGTGATTCGTCTTGATGCACGTGCAATGTTAAATTTGGGACCATATAGTTATCCATTCCTGCGAGTAAAACAACAAAATCGGAACTTTTACACGGCTGCGACTCGTCAATGCATGTGCGATGTAACAACCAACAATATTCGATCGTTAAATCTCGATGCAAAATGTTTAAGTTCAATGGAAAAAAAAATTGGGGGGCTTCGAAAGTTTCTGGCTTATTCTCAGACAATTTTCTAAGCTCTTACGACAAACACAATATTGCCCCTGTTTCTGACCAGAGCTTAGCTTTACGTCTGTGCCATTTTAAAATTTTAAACACTGTATTCGATTCTTCAAAGCAGGTTCAAAAATTCCACTTACACAGTCGTGTCGAAAATTCATCTGCAGGGTTTTAACAAACACAAGATTAATTTTTTAGACAATTTTTACAGCTTCAACCGATACTGATTGTTCTGTCATCATTATCCTTGATCTATACTCTACCAAGATGAACACGTTCGAAAAAATTGTTTGGAATCAATAATTCCTTACCGTCGACATGAGCCAAATTGAAGATGTTGGTCTTGTTGCAAAATGAAGAGGGAGCGAAAACAGTGGAAACAGACGCAAACTTCTTCAAATTAATCAATTAACATCTTTGAAAAGTGCCATCGATGAAGAGGGCCTAGAGAGTCGAGACCTCAGATGTGCTGGTTCGGGTTAAACCAGTCATCCGTTGCAGAAGTCCCAATGAGGCGGCTGATAGGTTCGTGGGGCGCGCTGCCGCTCAGCCAAGTCGGCGGGCCGGCGCTCCGGTGCGAATGACCGCGATGGCGACCGCAACCGCGTTCGCTCCGGCGCGAGGGGTGGACGGGAAAATAGGCCAGCCCCCAGTGAGAGGAGGCCCAGTAGGATCTGGGGCTGACGTGTGTGTGACTGATGAGTTCTGACGGCCGGCCAGGCGGGCGGGCGGGTTGTTGTACTCCTTCGTCAAGCCTAAGCTCCGTGGGTGTACCTGCTGCTAGAACCTCGCTATTCATATCTTCACCAACCTCGTCCAATTGGTATACAGCGGCAGCCCGCTTGGGCCAATCACAAAGCCTAAGTTTAAGAACTTGCGCCTAGCGTGCTAAACAGTTTTAATATATCACGTCTATTGCTGAGAAAAGCGGCCCACGTGTATCAGAATCAATTACAGAGCAGTCCGGACAGAAATGGACCGTAACTACAGTTCGGCAGTTGCGGTCAGACACTTAACAGGACGGAACCCAATCCGTGAATAGCAATCTTTTCTCTCATGACATTCGGCAACGCGTCGTTTGATGCTTCTTCATGACATTAATAATACAGGTAATTACTGTTTTTTTTATCCTTGAAACCCGAATTTGACAAGAGAACAACTGTTGCTCAGCAAGAAGACATTTCGCCCTTATTTGGTCAAATAAGCAACTGCCTACAATTGGCAAAATTCCCCAAAGTTTGAAAGATTCCCCCGCCCCCCCCCAACATTTTGTTTCATGCCGGTATGTAGTAATGTCGGACTGTCCCATTGTGGCTTGAAATGAAATGGAGCAGAATTGTGGCTTCAGCTCTCCGCATTCTGAAACTGATATCTTGGAAGAAAAGTTAAGGAGCGACCAATTATTCTCTTGTCCCTTGTATAATTTGCAACATGACAGTATAGATTCCCCTTTCAGGTATTTTTGGCCCAAATGGGCGTTGATTTGTTCGTAAAAAGGCCCAGAGTAAGGAAAAGCCAGAGTTATTTTTTTTTTCGTCTCAGCACAACAGCTGCAGTAAAATTTTGCTATTTTTTCCCCCACAGAAGTATTTTTTTTCTAATTTAGGTTTCCACTGAACGTTCGCCGCTCACTAAACTTCGCACCGTGTTATTCGCAATGGCCATAATATGTTAAAGTGACGTAAGGTGCTGCGTTGATCTGAGTAAAATCATGTAGTAGGAATTATAAAAATGACTTGAAATCATTATAACACCCACCAAACTAAAGACAGTTATTTTTACAACGAGCTGTTCTTCACTGTGATGTCTGTGCTGTCGGGAAAAAAAGTTGCTTGTGTTCGAAGAAAAATTTGCAGTACTGACAACATTTACGAAATATCTATAACGACTGGACTCAACGGGTCATTCCGACGACTTGTTTCGTCGTGTGATAATATTATAAGAGCATGCTATCCTATACGCCTGGCGAGCTTTCTTCGACACTCGTAAAAACTCTTGTCAGCAGGACAAACTTTTGTTTTTCTGCGCACACGCCAGCGGGGACCAGATCGGTGCGGAACCCGAGCCCTCGTGAAATCGCGGCCCGGGATATTGCATGACAATCGAGAGTATAAAATGACCGGGGAAACGCGTCATTATGGCCGGAATTATGAAATAAGAGGGCCATTTCAATTACAGGAGCTGACAGCTGCATCGGGAGCCCTGACGGCTTACAGACTTCATAGATACCTGACTTCTGATATGTGAAGTTTTGTTCTTGTAAAACTACACATCAATTTTTTTTCCTTGGAGCACAAATTTCACAGAAACATCAAGCATGTACGTGTACACATTTGGGACATCAGTACCTCTAACATGACCTCCCTTACCACAGAACAATTTCGAAAAACGTGAGCTTAACTTAAACCAATCTAAATGCTGAATCATGTGATCCTTAAAGTGCATGAAAGACTTCAACTCTATCGAAAAAACCTTAGCTCTGTTCTAAATTAACGGCACGGGTATTATATGGTTAGAACAATGCCGGGCACAGCGTGTGAATCCCAGTGATTAAGCAGGGGGGTGTTGGGTGGGTACATCAAGCCACTTTGAATTATGGGTACAGTTTGCACGTGTACAAGATCGGAATTTGCCAGGTCGAGTTTTTTGTGAAGGACCATTTATTTCTTTTTGTTTGTTTTTTTCCCCGCACTTCAGGATAAATTAATAGGCAACCACATCTCCGAAGCAGTTACAACGTGGAAACAGGCTTTTAGTTCGTCAGCCTACCCAATCCATTTTATTTACGGAATTCTACACCGGCCACAAGACGATGAACTCTTGTCCAAAGCCGTTGGTTTACGCCTCCCCTGTGGTCTTGCACGCATACCACGGATGAGTGGACGTACTTCTGGGCAGGTGAGCCTTGGTGTGCACGCATGTGCACTTGTGTCATTCCCGTTTTCGTACGAGCCCGATTTGGCTAAAATAATATTGAAGCCCGGTGGCCAATTCAATTCAATATCTGGACCAATTTTTCCAGCTGTCGGTAACGCATTTAAGACACCAAAATTGATCTCTCGCGATTCGCCATGAAAGAGCCAAGCATAGAGTCGATATTTCAAATCGCATCACCTGAGACATCTCTTTTTAAGCAAACATGATGTCTGCAGACGCCTTCATTTCCATAAAAGGACAGGCAAATGCAAGGTCTCCTTGATATGCAGGGGAGTACCTTAACAGCTTTTTAATTGGCGCCGACGAGAGGGTCTAAGTTCTAGAACAAATAACCGCCATTGCCACAGCTGCTCGACGACCAAACAACATCACGCGCGGCGCGGCGGTGTGCCGCGCGTAAAAACCCCGGCTCGGTTGTCAGTGAAGGCTAACGTTTCGACGGGAACGAAAACTGATCAGATATTTGGGGAAATACATCTTGTCTAAGCATCGCTGTCTCTCTGTCGCGGTGTTGGGTGATGCTTGCTCAACCACCAACCGGTCTAGGAATGTCTCCGTACCGTTCTCTTGTTGCTCGCACGGCACAGTGAAGCTGGGAAATGATATTTTCACGGCAAAAAGGGATAGGATCACCTCTATTTGTGTATCCGAGAAGCAGTGAAAAACCATCACGAGTCGAAAGGAGTCTATGAAAGATCAGTTTGCAGGCCATAGCCGTGTTATACGAAGGCAGGTGCGTGTGCTCAAAGCCACCTCAAAGGCGATTTGCCAGCTCTGCAGCTTTGGATTCATCTCTGACTGCAGAAGTTATTTCGAATCTTCTTATACTATCCAAACCAATGAAGACACTCCAGTCTCTAGCCTAAATCTCAGGTTGTCTTGAGCCAAGCTTCGCGTGGTCATAAACCGAAATTCACTGAAAGAGAAGCTGGTGTTGAGGATTAATGGACCTAACAGGTGACTCCTCAAAAACTGCTCCCAACTGTGTTAAGCTGAATTGAATGAATCAGTTTTGGAGAGGACTCGTGCTAACAGACCAAAGTGAAACTGCCCGTGAACCAACCGCTTAACTACTGCATAACAACCTTTTATTTCCAATGTGTCGCACATATCAGAATGCAGCATTCCTTTCACCCCACAGCATGCCCGGGAACGAGTGAACCTAGCAAACATAAAACGCTGCACCGAGCCTACGTGCTGGAGGAACATCTCGAATGGTCAGTCTTTGTTGAATCAAGTAGGTGCCCGTGTATGTGATAATGAATGCACAAGCCGCCCATCCCACAGCTCTGCATAAACTAACATGCTACAACACTCCCCCAAGTTCCAGGTTGGTACACGCTTGGGCAACTCTAATGTCCCTTCCGCTCTTCACTGATTACAAGGGAAAGAAAACTGCTCAGACAAGTTGGTAGGAGATTTATACAGTGTAAGCATGCAGCCATCTTACTGCACTTCCCATGTAACCTGAACCTTTCCAAATCCTCCAAAATCTTCCGAGCGGTTTTGGAGGATTTGGGAGGGTTAAGGCTATACAGCAAAAATACAGTGGCTGGTTGCAAAAAGATGCACTGTGTCGAGGTCTAGGGCTGGACCTTGGCTTGTTTACTCTCGGCTAGGCATAAAATGAGGCCTACATTACATGTGAAATCGTTACCACTCCTCCATATCATTTGGGCTGCCTCAGCGCAGTGACAGGAATTGGCGGGAGATTTTGAAGGACCCAGGCTGTGGTCACACCTCAATGGAACACACTCAAGCAGTAACAGAGGATTTTGGAGGACTGAGGCCATATCTGATTTTGACAGGCAGGCAGTTGGAAGATTTTGTAGGATTCAGGTTACATTTCAGCAAAAATGCCTAAGAAGTTATAATTTGGGAAAAAAACTTACACTCCTACAACTGCAGGATGATGTCTCTGAAATTATTGGTATTTAATTACAATTTTTTTAATCTACATGTATTTACAAAATAACTACTGTCTGTTGATCATTTTAGGTAGGGCTCGTCAGTGGACAGCTTCCACGTTGGCGGAATACCAGGGGTGACCGGTTTCCGAAGAGCAGGAGTTCCAGACCCACTGCGGAAAGATAACACAAGGGGAAACATTTCACTAAAAGAGCCTGTTTCCAAATTCAGCGAAATGTTTAGCATGACCTCTCACTTGAAACTCCCACACGTCCCTGATTTTGCCCTGCAGTGACACATCAGCCATTAGAAAGTGATAACATGTCCTAAAAAGTCGAATTGAGTAGAGAAAATATTGAAGCATTTCCTTAGAAAATGCTCTTCAGATCAGTCTGGTAGGGTTTATGTACAAGGTGTCGAGTAATGTCCAGGTTATGAGTGCCTTTCCTTAAAGAGGCTTTATCGTGGATGTTCTTTAACATTTTCAAATAGTGCCAACCAGCAACTGCAGCGTACTAAAGTGCAGCCTTTCCCATGGATAAGATCTTGAGGCACCATGTTGGTTCCGATACCGTGCCCTTTCTCCTCTTTGAAGGAATAAGCATGCAGCCCATGGAGTCGAGGTTGACTAAAGTGACCTTATGAGGTCAGTGCCTACGAATGCATTAGGAAGCTAGCCAATATGACGAGAGTGTGTCTTTGAGTGAATCATAATGTGTCTTTGGCAGTCCAAACAAATGGAAACTAGTGACTTCTTTGGACACACGAGAGCATTTTGTAACTTTACGGGTGCATTTGAATAGCTTACTCTCCTAATGTCAGGTAGGGGCATGAGAGTAATCATGACAGGTTGTGGCGATACATGGCATCTGAGGAGACCTACCCCTCGGCCGGCTGCGGTTCGGCGAGACGCTTCACACTGGAGTAGACTAAAGTGGCCGGCTTGGAGTCGCGCCGCCCGTCCCTCGTGAAGTAGTAATTCTCCGCGAGCTTGTGGGAAACGCCATCCGGGAGATTGGGCTCGGGAATGGACCTGATGAGACAGAACAATAATCCTGGCATTTCAACCCTTGCAGAATCTTTCTTAGTAGCAAAATTTTTAGGATTCTTGCTAATGCTCCGAGAAGAAAATAATATACAGGCAAAGATACAAGTACACAAGCACAGATGAACAGAATTGAATAAGACAGGAATTCAATAATTCTCAAACCAGAGCCCAAAATGATTTACCTTGGGGCAATTTCTGGAGCATAGCGAAGCTGTAACTTGGCCTGGAGATTCCTCTGAAGAGAAATACAATACACAGGTGGGCAAAAGTCAATTTCATAGGGCCTGCATTCCATAGAAATTGATATGATTCTGAAATAACATTCAAGACAATCCCCGACTTCCCCCAACTCTAACTGCAGTTGTGGCACTCTCTTGGAGATGATGCCCTAACTCTGGTCAAAGTTTCGAGAAGAAAGCTCTGTTTGTAGGCCTACTCTTCAGACATGTCAGACACAAACATTTCGCCCCATAATGAGTATCAGGCATGACATAAGGGAATTAAGATTTGGTGTATTTGTGGCATATTATTGTAGGATGACGTTACAATCTGGTGATACTGCCTACAGTCATGACAGTCAGCGTGGTCAGTGCATTGGCAATTCTCGATGTCAGGATGATGTCACTGATTCTTGATGATTTTCTCTGATTGGTCAGTTGATGGCTATAAGTAGGCCTACTACATCTTCCACACTCAAAACTCAAAGGGGCAAAAACATTAAACAGTGTAGCCAGCTCCAGGTAGCGCGGCGGTCTACATCATGGGGAAAATCTGAATTATTGACTTAAACTCTTAACCTTTACATGAAATGTGCCTGAAATTTCACTATTTATGCACTATAAACGTTCCAAACACTGTACTGAAAGGTTTTAGTTATTTCTATCACGTTGCTGCCAAAAAAGGAGGGAAACATGCAAATCCCTGTACAAAGTGAATGGAGAGTTGCCCCTTTGCCGAGACGTGAACAACCTCCGACCTCGAGAATTCGAGAAAGCGGCTGACCTAAACGCAAGTCTATTTTATGTCAGTTTTATCAAAAGAAAAAAATAAAACCGTCAGATTATCTAAATTTCCACACGTTCGATTCATAACAACTCAACAATACCAATCAGTAACATTACCATACCCCAGACAAGAAATTTCGAAGAGCTTGAATAATCGGCGAAGCTGTTGCCATTTGCTGAAGTACATGAAATGTGCTTCATTAGTTAGCGCTGGTAATCGACCTAGAAGTGTAAGCACGTACTTTAACACTAATGTGCATGACGCGGACCAGCGAAACTTGTCAAGTCTGAAAAAATATCCTAAATAAAATAAAGTATAATCTAATAATTAAACAAAAAAATGCCATTATATCACCAAAAAAAATAAATTATTGCAAAACTACTTATTTTTGTACATTTTGTTAAACCAAAACTGTTTTAAAAGACAGCCGTCTGGGTCATATTTTTGTAATATAGTGCAAGAGGCAGTCCTCTTTGGTATTTCACTTACCAGAAAACGCAGGAATGGATAAGCCAGTTAAACTTGCGAAGGTAATTTCTCACCTTTTTATTGTAGTTTATACCCTTAACGACATAAAAATCAAATCTTGAATTTGTCAACTCCCTCAGAAATTCGTTTATTGGTTCATTGTGGTCAGCGAAAGGAATTTTTTTGTCAATGTGACGTTGATAGAAGAATGTCAATATTGCATTGGATCATCATCATGCACACGCTATTTGTGCACGTGTAATTCAACCGTTGAGGGCCCCGTTTTGGCGTAACTCAATAAATCAAGGGTGCACTGAACCAATTCAAGCTCCATTGAGAATAGTGTAAAATCAACCAAGTTTGGAGCCCATGGCAGGCAACTGAAGTCACTGAGGCCACTCAAACAAAAATTGTATTTTTTGTCCTAAAGATTTCATTTGGTTTTCATTTTTTGGTAGGTTAACCAATGAATATTTTAATTATCTGCTAAAAACAAACTCGCCCCCCAAAAAAGTGAAAGTTCCGAAGTCTTCTCAGCGGCCATTCTTCAAATGACATCCCTCACCTTCCTGGGGCTCTTCTGACAAATTTTCAATCACATTTTTGTCTGGCTTTGNTGGGGGTACTTTTTGTGCGCTTCCGCCTGGCAGAGAATTTTCCTTGAATTGGGACACTGCACCCTCAAATTTAGTCAAGATGTGGACAGATTTGTACTGTGTTGCTGCATTGGTTGGATAAAAAAAAATCGTTTTTAAACATTTTACATTGCCATAACCTTAACCAGGCGTGTGAAAAGGCTAAAAATAAAATGCATTATTTATGCAAATTTGTCATCAACACAGGTACGCACACACAAGTCCTGTGTGGGGCATGATCAGTCAGTGTTTGCAATCACTCAATTTTGTGGCAGGATCTATCAATAATTGTGGCATCAGCCAATCACCTTTTCTATTCAATTCACCGTTCGTGGAAATCTTTCCAGTGAATGGAGATTCATGGGATTTCCTACAGAATCGACCGATAATACCCACAGGTAACGAAAATATCAAAAGACTTGTAAGTAATCAAGTCGGGAGAAATCAGGAGAAAAAAATCAGCATCAACCTTGTTTTTAATGGTTTTTTTCCAGGTGACTAAAGTCCTGGGCCGGACGGGTTCCCAGGGACAGTGCACCCAGGTCAGGGTGGAGTTTCTGGATGATACCAACCGCTCCATCATCCGCAACGTGAAGGGGCCGGTGCGGGACGGCGATATCCTGACGCTGCTGGAGTCTGAGAGAGAAGCGCGGCGGTTGAGGTAGAGGGCAGCAGACGCAGCGGTTTAATTTAGACTCATCCTTCCCTGGTGAGTAGAAATGCGGGGGGAGTGCGGTAGTACTCATGAGCAGAGTTTCAGACCTTTGTCTGACACTGGATCAGTTGACTTGGAGTCTGAGAACTTCATCTGACCCTTAACTTTAACGTGGCACCTGAGGTGTTAATGATCCTTCCTGAATCCTCCAAAGTCTTCCACTTTGCTGGAAACCAATAGCGTATTCTTAGTTACTTCAACTCTCAAGGATCATCAAGCCCCCACGTAAAGGAGCAGCAGCTGGGCTCTGGCTTCTTTAATCCTGCACAATCTTCCACTGTACAAGAAATCACTGGCCCATAAACTTGTCATTTCCAGTCTGGGCATAAAGTGCTACGATAAATACACACGGTACCGAATACCACAAACTGATCTATCCTGTGTACAAAGTATATACATGATGTGCTACCTATCAAGTTGTTACTTTGTGATATGATCAACGAGTTGTGTGCCCCCTCTGCCTGGTTAGCATCTGCACAGCACTTGACAGCAGTTGTTATGCATTAAGTCTGTAGAATATACCAGAGTACAGTAGTCCTTGTTTTCACAAGTTGAGAACCCGATGAGAACGCCCACACTCACCTTACATACCTAGTATGGACATTCCTTTCTTTTCTTGCAGTTAAAAAACTCAGTGAAAATACTTGTTTTTTTTAACCGGGAACACGATTTTTCAGCTGGCATTTTGTACAAGATTTCCTTGACTATTCCTCTTCCTTTTACAACGGATGACCCCATCCCTGAAATTCGTCAAAACTTCTTTTTCAGAGAAGGGGAAACGTCCTGTGGACATGTGTAAGTCCACAGAACGTCTTCCTTTCCTGCATCGTGTGGACATCTTTTGTCCACAAGTCCATACTAGGTATGTAAGGTTAGCGTAAGGCAGTTGATGATAGTTTGTTCACACACAGATTGTTCTAAATGGAATGGCAAAATTCGCAAATTTCAGAATGCTGGAATCCTGTGAGTTACCCAAGCTTGGTTAAATTCTTGAATCCTACTAACAAGCTGTTCCTTTTCTCTTGTCTTTCCTTCTAGAAAAGCAGAAACTTACATCCCCCACCTTCAACATCATGCTGTTCAGGAGAGGTCACCTTCAAATTGCAGCGATAGAGTAAAAACAGACGATCATGTTGATTCACCACACATGACGAGAGGACTCCAGGGCTGCTCTAGATCCACAAATCACGGCATGGGTGGTGACTCTTGCAACTCGACCCCGGAAAAAACACTTTGTCATCAGAAGTCCAACCTGCTAGTCCATATGTCATTCACAGTTTGCAATTTTAAACACTCTTGATCCATTAGGATTAACAGATGTTAATGATTACAATTGGTCTTTACTGAAAGGCAGGTGGAAATAAAGCTCAGAATCGATCATTGTCTCTGCCATTGTAAAATGCACTGTCTTCCTTTGTGTCTTTTTTCTGGTCTTTTCAAAGGATTGTAGGGATTGCCTGGTGGAAAGATGTATAAGATAATGTATGATTAATGAAGCCCAGTTGAGGTCTTATCTGAGAATACACAAGGGGCGCCTTTCTTGGAGGCCCTGAGCATGAAGAACCAGCTTGGTGTGAACTGAATTTATTTGGCAGTCAACCAACTTTGGAAAAGAACCGTTCAAGCAGTTAACAATAGTTGGTCCAAGCCTGGAATTTTCCTTGAACTGGGTTATTCTTTCCTTAGCAAGTAGCTCTTCTGTCTCGTTGAGAAATTCAGACTTCTCCCCCGAAGATAGTTGAGAATCAGAGCGTCGGGATTTGAGGCTTTTCCAAGAATGACATTCTGCTTTTGTGATTATTCAAATAGATATCCCGAGCACCTGTCTATATTGGCGAATTTAATTCATTGAATTGATTCAAGTGAAGGTTTCTGAGTCATTTGCATAAAAGTGCCCCATAGTTTCTTTTGAAGATTGGCCGAAATAAATGGAGGGATTGTGGAAATATTGGCCAGGATCAACTCCCTGGGTTTGGGGCTTCCATCCCAGGGTAGAATTGATAAAACATTACTGATGGAAAATGGTCCTCAGTGCCCGAGAAAGTAGAAGGAAGCCATTTGAAAATATCGCTGCGAGTAGGCTTGGGAACAACCACTTTTGAGGGGTGAGTTTGCTTTGCTTGAATAATTAAAATTGTAATTTGCTAATCAACCAAAAATTGAAAAGAAATGGAATGAGTGGAGTCAAGACATTAATTTATTTTTTGTTTGAGAAACTCCAGTAATGTCGGCTTGCATGATAATGAACCCTGATCTTTGTTGATCTGGCACTGTTTTCAATGGGGCTTGAATTACTCACTCACCCATATACCGCACTGCCGCAGACATAAACGTTTATGGGTAATTCTAATTAATTAGGGTCCAATTTTTTTGTGTATCCCAATGACATCTGACACGGGCTATAATTTGTAAGTTCAGAACGAATTCTCTAATTTCCAAGCGTGAACAACTAGAAATAGTTTGAAATCAATTTCAGTGATATGTCCATGTCAAATTACACAGTTCAGATGTAACAGGGGACACAAAAATGTCACTCTTTCGGATTCCGAATTTACAGAATGACCCACACCTCGATGCCTGGCCATTAGATGGTAATACAGCCCTCTCTTGACACTAACTAATTATCGACAAATGAGGGCGTACTTGATGCAAAACATACATTGCATGCAACACATAATGGAGGTTCAGCCGCACGTGCGCACCTTCAACTTTTTGAGGTCTGTTTTTTCGAATCTGAAGAAGCATTTTCTAGTTTTGTAGCGTTATTTCGGAAGTTTCACACTACATTTATAAATTTGCAAAGTCGGACATCATGCCAAAGGTGAAGAGTGCGAAGAAATCGAGAGTTCACGAACAGGTTTTCAAGCAAGGTATGTGTTACTGTTAGTGTTAGTGTTACTAAAAATACTATTACTAATAAAGTAATAGTACTATCCCAGGTTGTACGTCGCGTCATGTGCGTCTACATTGCATTGCGACTAATGTCCGGGGTAAGTCCTCCTACTATGCGAAATTTTTTTCAACAGTTTCTTTCTTAAATTTTCTGACGAAGACAGCTTAAAATATCGTTCACAAGTGCCTTGTATCCTGAATTCCATAAATGCTATGTTGAAATTACTAAAAATGCCCGTAAACCTAGTTTGCAAGAAATTCTGCAAAACTCCACACTTCCCATCACGATTTGTTAACGATCTACATACACATTCGTCTAGCACAGGTACTTGCACATGCACGAAATGCAAAGTAACCGAGTGTCCCTTACACCTGCACGGAAGAGCCATAGACGTTAAGAAATCGCAGATAAGGCTGTGTCCGAACAGGCTTCCAAAGATGTGGCTGGGTCTATTGTCTGCACATCTCCGCATGTTTGTAATGGAGTGAAGACCTAGACCTAGCTCTAGACAACATGTATAACTGACAGAATGTGGGCTGGGCTTGGAGGCCATTTCGCAAATGCACAAATGCATACAACCGCACGAACGCGAACGTAGGTTGTTAAGGAATCACAACGGAAAGCGTGGAGTTTCGGGGAATTTCCTGCAAAAGACATTTTTTGCGGGCGTATTTAGTCATTTCAACACAGCGTTTATGGAATTCAGGATACAAAGCACTTGGGAACAACTTTTGAGCTGTCTTCGTCAGGTAGAAATGTGAGAAAAAATGTTGAAAAAATTCTGCAAAGTAGCAGGACTTTCATACCCTGGACGTTAGTCATAATGCAATGCAGACGTCGTACAACCTAGGCTAGGTGAGTGTTAGACCCGTTAACAGGGACTGACAAATACTTTTGTGTCGTTCACATCAAGTTTCTGGGATAATGACAAAGCAAACCCAAACTGTACTCAGGTCTAAATAATTTATTAACTCCAGACCTCACATTTTGAAGAATATAATACAGAAGTGAATCGTACTAGGTGGGCGCTGTCGATGGTTCCCTCGGACCAACTATGCCAAGCACAGCCACGTGGCCGAAAAATAAAGACGTTATTATGTAATCTAAGTAACAAATGAATAGCCAATCCCACCTAGCTGGTGAATTTAAAAAAAAAAATGTGGAGAATGTTTCACAACAATACTCCTCCGTCATAAACCGTACAACCATGACGACGGAGGAGTATTTGTCAGGCTCTGTTTACAAGTTTTACGGGTCTAGGTGAGGATACGTTTTCTCCATGTTCACGCTTTAGGTTACAGTAGGAACTGCATTTTGACGGAGCCTACTGCCACTGGTAGGCCTTCTACTGTTTATATTTGTCACTTGTACAGGGATTGTATACTTGGGGAACCCCCAGTTTTTTGACATTTTAATCTTGAAAAATTGGTAAGTCCCCCCAAAAAAGAAAGGTAACACTCTCTTTATTGCGGTGGCCCTATTTTTTGGAAATTTCATTTTCAAATTGTAAATTGTGAGAAAATGTGACTTTTTTATTGTGATATAAACAAACCATGCGAATTTGAATTCACCACTTGTCATGTGTTAAAACAGTCACCTGTCCCCTCGTACATGTAATTTCCCTCAAAACTCAAAACCCTTCCCTTTTTGACAACATTAACCATCTTAACCCTTCAGTTATTGAGCATGAAGTCACAGTTTTTTTCCATGGTGAATTCAACCAATAAAATGTCGTTCTCCCTTCTATTATAGAAACAAGGTCCCCAAATTTACAATCCCCATTTGTACTTCGGTGAATTATCAGTCGCTACACACACACGTTCTTTTTTAGGAATCCAGTTCAGAACTGACATTGGACAGCACATTCTGAAGAATCCCCTGGTGGTCGATGCCATCATCGATAAGGTAGGCCTATGTCCAAGTTTTCAAGGCTAAATAAAAAGTGGATGCTGCATAAGCAGATGAATATTGAATAGATCAACTTAGTCTAATTTAGTTTCAAGTACTGTGAAACACATGAATCACTTTTAACGCATGCATTTTTGCCAAATAAGCATCACTTCTTTTCACTGGCATTTGCTAGTCTTCTGATCATGCCGGTCCCATGGGTAGAGTGGTAGGTTTGGGTGTCTGTCTGTGTCCGGTATTTGATAAAAGTTGTGTCTTTTCATCCATAGGCAGCCTTGCGGAGTACAGACACCGTGCTGGAGGTTGGACCTGGGACAGGGAACATGACGGTGAAGCTCCTTGACAGGGCCAAGAAGGTAATTCTCCAGCGTGCTTGCACGGTGCGCCGTCTTGGTGGGAAGGCTATTGATCCAGGGTGATGTGCATGAGTAGTCACATTGTACTTTCGTCATCATGGAATTTACATAACAAATCTGCCCTCCATGATGGCGCGTTGTGCAAGTACTTTATTGCACAGTGCAATAAAGCTGGGGTGTAAAACAACGATAGAAAGCGGTTGTCAACATTGGCATGGGATTTGCTTGGCAACCCTGCTGCAATCTGCCACATAACAGCTTATTGATTTTGCTATTGGAAGGAGCAAGCTGAAAAACTTAATTTGTTTTAACTTTTGTAAGCAATCATCTGTCTTTTCCCTGGTGTGCACAGGTGGTGGCTTGTGAGTTGGACCCCAGACTCGCCGCCGAGCTGCAGAAGCGAGTGCAAGGAACGTAAGTGCCTCGTCCGTTCCTCATTCCTAGTGTCACACCTTTGAACTTTGAACCACATCTTTGTGGTAGGCCCTGTGCCTCAGCGGTATGATTCTCCTACTCTGAGATCTTCCGTGCAGCCTGCTTGAAGGCAGAGTCCACACGGTTACCTCTCGATATCCCTTGGAGAGTGGGCTATGCAGAATGTGTCTCTTGTTTTCCCCATGCAGGATTTTGAAGGACTCTGGAAGTTTGTTGGTAGAAATTTCAAGGGATTTTAGGGAAGGGATGGGGTTACATCATGGAAGATTCCCCGATGGGTACACGCCATCCTTTCATATAACTTTGCCTGAAGTATTCTCTTCCATATCCTAAAGTATCTGTCATGAAATACAATGATGGAATCCACTGCAAGTGTCACTGTGTTGAGATTTTTTGTCATGACCAGTCACCTTTCCAGTAAGCTTCACATGATCATTGGCGACGTCTTGAAGTCAGACCTGCCGTTTTTTGACGTGTGCGTAGCCAACCTGCCCTACCAGATCTCCTCCCCGTTTGTCTTCAAGTTGCTCCTTCATCGACCCTTCTTCAGGTATGAGTTGGTTTTCGACGCGGGGCACAGTTTGGCCAATAGTGCCATCCTGAAGGGTCTTTCTCAAGAACACAAATTACCGTCTGCAGCAGGTGGATTCAAGCCCCAACTTCTAATTATCAGTCACCCACAGCCTGCCCACTCTCCTTCGGAAAATTTGGCCCACATTTTATGCCACGGTTTTATTATTGAGTTATTGTAATGACACCAAAGATTCCTCAACTGAGTGGCCTAGGCACTGTATCTCACTAGCCTGAAGAAACCTGTAGAGAGGAGACAATGAGAAGCAGTTACCGTTTTAGAGGTGGGAGGAAAACCCCAGAGGAATATTCTGGGTAAAACCACAGAATTAGGTAGGGACTGAAAACCCAATCCACATGTAGACCAGGCCGGGAATCGAACCGGTAACCCACAGAGGTGGGGCGAGGAATGAACCACTACGCCGACCCAACTCTACTGCACTGTGTTTGTACAGGTAATTCTACCTTTGTGCTACCCTAGGTGTGCCGTGCTGATGTTCCAGCAAGAGTTTGCTCAGCGTTTGGTGGCCAAGCCAGGCGACAAGCTGTACTGCAGGTTGTCTATTAACACACAGCTCCTGGCAAGAGTGGATCACCTCATGAAGGTAGGAAAGTAACGGCCAACAACTCCCAGAAGACCAAGAAAAATACCACCAACATTATAAACTGTACCGAAAGGAGAACAATATTGTCGAAAACAAAACTACCCATTGAGGACATGTTTTCAGTTTTGGCAACACCTCTTAAAAAGCTGGATTGCGAAGGGCGGAAAAAAGGGGAATTCCAAAACAAAATTAAATGAACATAAACTAGAAAGGTTTGTACGAGAGACAAACAAACCACCCAAATTAGAAAAACTATTTTTCCCTTTTTCCAAAATATTTTTGCTAGATGTCGCTAAAGACACACAATTAGTTTTTTTTGGGGGGGACTAACTCACCTTTCAGCATTAAAACAGACCCAGGTGGGTTCAAGAAGAATTCTATTGTCAGCGGCAATATGCAGGTTTATGTGGCAGATGGATTCCATCGACGCTGGTTATTTCCATTCACAGCTAAAACTTTGGGATGTAGGCTCAAATTTAAATGTGTTCTATGTCCTTTGTGAACAATGGTCATTAACCCCCCCCCCAGGTCGGGAAGAACAACTTCAAGCCACCTCCAAAAGTTGAGTCCAGCGTCGTCCGTATCGAGCCGCGCAACCCGCCTCCGCCCATCAACTTTCAGGTCAGTGAATTGGATTCAGGTCCATAACGAATGTGTGCGATTTATGCAATGACCAATACTCACACAAATGCACTCACAAGGAGTATCAGGTCATGCAGCGCAGCTGTGCAACATTTGAAGTAATTTCGGCGACTCAGATAGTGAGCAAATACTGCTTTACAATGGCCGTTCTTCTTCCGTCTGTTACAGGAATGGGATGGACTTGTCCGAATAGCCTTCGTGAGGAAGAACAAGACGCTTAGTGCAGCATTCAAGTTAGTGATTCTCAAAGTTTAAGACATAAAGACTAGCCCTGAGGGTCACTTACGCCTCAGGAAGTAGCGACTTGGTCACTCACATGCCCAAGGGGACACAAACGTCCACTAGTGACTGGCCAAATTATGCCAGTCAATGTTTTTTTATCAAAATGTAAAATAAGAAAGGAAGCAGTCAGGTTTTGAACTGTTACAGTTTAACCGTTTATTCATAAATACCTCAAACAGTTTCCCTATTCAACAACTCGTCACATGACCGTGTATTAACATTTGATAATGCCAACTGAGATTATGATAATGCCCACTTCATAAGAAAACACTCTGGCACGCACCTGGATACGAGAGAGTTTAATCCATTCTAATTGGTCAAGAGTCTGAATGCACCGCGGCATGGAGAATGTGCCATGCACGCACCAAGTCCATATAAGGAGATTCCTCTGGACTACTTGCACAAGGAATATACCATAACATGGACGGGGGGAAAAGGAAAGTGAAATTTTTGAACAAAATCCTTGGAAATTTGTCATATGTATATTGACTTCTTTTGACTCTTTGACTAAAACGCTAATGGATGGGAATAAATATGTGTGTGCTCGGTCGGTCTTGTTCCCTTACTCATAAAAAATTATTTCAGCCCGAATTCTTTCTTCTTATAAACGAGCTCCAAAGTTTCTCTAGAATGTCTTTCATAGACCCCTTTTTTTTTAACCACTCATAGGACGAAAGCCGTGATGGAAATGTTGGAGAAGAACTACAGGATTCATTGCTCGGTTAAAAACATTGTGAGTATTGTCAGTGACTTGTGCGCAGAATGGATTTTGAAGGGCTGTATTTTCACAGCAGTGAGAGATGGCATAGTCGCCTTGTCTGCATTCTTTATTTTGTCCCTTTTTTCACATTTTTTAGCCCATCGCTGAAGATTTTGACATCAAGGATAAAGTCCACGCTATCCTCGAAGGCAACGAGTTTGACAAGATGAGGCCACGCGTCATGGATATTGACGATTTTCTCCGGTAATCTTTGATCGTTTCATTTTTGTTTTCATCTGAAAATGAACAGCTTTGATAAATGACAAAATGTCTTTGTGGCACTGACAGACCAACTTCACCCCAAAATACTCCAGCTTTATTCCTTTGTGAAGATCCAGCAACGCCTCTGGTGGAGCAGGTATTCTGTTAGAAGGGAGAGTATGAAGGCTCGACAGACAAGTTTGCCTTTGTCACTTTGTCTGGGCAGATTTTCACATCTTCAGTTGAAATTCAGGGGAAAGTTGCAGATGAACAAGCTTGTGGCGTGCAGCATGAACCGGAATGGAGATTGTTACCTGAACGCAGAGCGCCCTCTTTTGTTCATGCGCCCATGCCATTCACCAACTTTCCATTTATTTCCTTGTTTTGGTTTGTTCACATGCAGGTTGCTGAATTGTTTCAATTCTGAGGGTGTTCATTTCTCTTGATCTTGGAGCATGCATCGTCACAGAATCGAACGCATCCAAGACAGACAATGGACTATAAGGTGTGCGCTGCAGATTTTGAGCCCTCGTTGGGCATTTTTTTGGTGTCGTATCCTTGATCAGCAAGGCCAGTCTACCACCTCCGGAAATACGAGAAATTTCCACTGTATTGCAGCGTCGGTTGACTAAAGGCCCAAAATAAGTTGAAATCTATTCAGATGGCTGCACGTCTGGGATTTTGTGGCATGAAATTGATGGGAAGAAGTGTGATTTCAGCAGCCGATTTCACGAAAACTTTACGCAATGGTCAGGTGTAACGTCACTCAGGCCACATTTTATTGCCAACCTTGCGCAACAAATTAAGAGCTATTTCACGAAACTTACGCACTGCGTAAGTCCGGGACTTGAGCAACAAATTGTGGTGTAACTTACGCAGTCATCTTGCGCGGCGTAAGTTGTGCCAAACGAAGCGAAAATGAACAATAGCTCATGTGTTCAGTTAAGCCAAGTCATTGCTGAACTGAACAAGGCTTATGACTAGAAGCGTACAACTTTTGTGTTGGAAGGTAATGACTAACTTGTTTGGCTGTGAGAGAACTGCGAGGTTTTTCTTGCCAGTTCTGACAAAGGAAAGACAAGAACCTTTTCAAAAAGGCAGGCGGAAGTGATCCAACGACTGTTTGATGAATGATGTTATATTGGAAAGGAACAGCCGCCTTGAAAGCCGTTATCCTCCGGGAAATTTAATATAAGTAAAACGTGACGCAGCTATGCAACTTTTCATGAAATCAAACATAAGTATATTGTGCAGCTATGGCTCAAGGCCA